TCCGAGAGAAGTCAACTGACTGCAACCACGAACTGTAGATAGTACGGATGCCAATTAGTAGATGAATGAGAAGAATTTACCGTGGCCGCCAGCCAAGTGAAAAGCATTAAGTCGCACCACCTACAGTTCGTAGTTGCCCTCAGTTGACTTCTCTCGGATGGAAGTCTAATTCTGTTTTCCTTTTTCCCAAATATGGGAAAACGCGTACATGAGAAAGACTAATTAGATATGTGTTTTTTCTATATTTCAGAATGGCCATGGTAGAGAAAACAAATACACAAACATCTGTGACCTACTGGGCACAAAAGAAATGTGAACCAGAATAAATAAAAGAACATCTACAGAACTAAACTAGGTTTTTCTTATGAGAGTAAAAATTCGTTTAATCAACAAATATATGAGTTGAAGGCTTCAATACTTTTGTACTACTAGCAGACCACTAGTACAATAACAAAAAAATTTCAGTGCTCAATCCTTTGTCTTGATCGATATACCAAAATCCTAGTGTAACCGTATCTCTTTCTTTAAGCGAAATTCATAACTTTAGAAAGAAAGCATTAAGAACAGAAATCCTTTTAGGCCTTTTACTCTAGCATACTATCCTCTATCGATAGACAGAATATCACTGAAAACGGAGGTAGATATGTGAGAAGGTTCCGCCGTAAGAGGAACTTTTTATTATATTACACCGAATAGTTATTCTTTTTGTCTTTTTCTTGTTCTTTTTTTGTGTTTTGTTCTTGTTTTTCCTATTTTTTCAGGTTTTTTTTTGAATTTTTTTTTCGCAATTTTTTACATCGTCCAACGGCATTACAGACACGTTAAGTAATCATAAAAAAAACGACAACAAATTTTTTTCTGCGACACACGATCATATCGATTTCATCTTTACAATTTTCTCAGCAAAAAAAATCAATGAAGAGAAGAAGGAAAATAACAACGAAACAAGCAAATCTAACATATGTGAGTTTGCTCACCATTAGCAGGAGTCTATCATTTACATGACGACAATGATTGACCAAATAACATTTCAGATTCTGTCTATAAACAATAACAATTGTCATACATACACACGCACGCATACAGAAATATATAGATGATGCACACACTGTTCACGGGTGGATTAATTAAAAAAATAATTCGCCGCGACATGTTTGCTTTCCTCTTCCATAATGTTTCTGATGTCTAATGGAAGAAAATTAATGAACGAAACATGTGTGGTGATCGCAAAATAAAACAAAAAGAGAAACATACAAAAAGAGTACACACATAAATGTGAAGATGACAATTTTTTTTGACACGATACAAAAAAACAAAAATTAAATAAAAATTGTTTAATATGGTGAATAAAAATAACTACTACGTCCTCGACCTCTGAAAATAAAAAGAAACACAGATGGATGAGTATACATTTATAGAGAACAAAGATTGTTGTTTGAATTAATATACCTGAAATATGGTCGACTTCTAACACGAAAAGTAGGAATGTAAGCCTGCATATAACCAGCACCTCCTCTTGGATAACGCCCTCCACGTGCAAAGCCTCGACCGCCTCTTGGCGGGCGATCGGTTGAAGTATATCCCGGACGGTTAGTACGCTTTTCAAAAACCTAAGAAGAAAAAAATTAATTAAATATTAAAATAGCAGAAACTGTTTGAACCACATACTTTGATTTGTCGCCCTTTGAATAATGAATCATCAAGTGCTATTGCTGTTTGTACCGAATCTTTATCGGCAAATTCAACGTAGGCATAGCTAAAATGAAGGAAATTTATGTTACAACCAGACATATAAAACTGTTCGTAATTTATCAAAAGATATTTTTCTCCCATTGAGGAACAATCCTGCAAGAAAATTTTTTATCGACATTGGTCGTCCATGGGCGCGAGATTCTGATTCTTTTTCTGAAACTGGTGAGGACCTTTGCCTGCATTATGGGCACTTGTTCGGTACCGATGCAACACGTTGAATCAGTATAGTACTTTTACAGCAGAAAAAAAACTTCCAGTGTGGCACCAATACTAACGGTACTGATGCTAGCGACCTACGGTATGCCATGCACACTAGCAGTCCCACATAGATTTCTACCAGTTCAGTTCTACCACATTGATTTCTACATCAAACATCAGTTGGCACCAACACGCAACTTCAGTTCCAAATTACCAGAGCTCCACGTAGGACGAGATAAAATTTTAGTACCGTCTCGCGAAAATTTGGTTCCACGTCCAGGAACGCAGCGTTAAAAGTTTCATCCCGAGACAGGACTGAATGTTTGTTCTAGCCCGCTCCCATCCTGCAAAAAATCTAGAAAAAGTGTAAAAGAGCGCGAAAAAATCTGATATCGGTTTCGACGGATTTCTCGAAGGATCTTTTTCTGCTGAGAAGGTAAAAACTTTCCAGCATTGTGACGCTGCACGGGAATTTTTATTATTAATAACTTCATATTTTTCTTTTTCTTTATGGTTCATCAACAGAGGTTTGATTTTATTACATTTATTTTTCATTAATTTCTCACTTGTTAGGCGAAGAGAGTAGATGCCATTTTTTCGCAAAAACTCAAGAAATTAATCAGAGTTTGTTAACAAAATAAAGTTATAGCTCTATTGATAGAATAAAGCATAAAAGAAGTAAACAGTTATGTATTCGTTTCCTATTGATCAGCCTCTCGAATGGCGTCCTGGCTCTCCGGATAAAAATCAAAAACCGTCCCGCGTCCTGACTAGTATAAAAATTTCGACTTGCGTCCCATGCGGAGCTCGGTAGATTCTAGCACTTACCAACCAAGAACTGACAATCAACAGACTGTTATTCCATTCAACCCATCTGTGCCCAAATTTTTCTCAGAGTTGAAGAACTTCCATTATGGGTTGGACCAAGTATTTTAGAGGTAAGAATTTCGAATTATCTCAATTGGGACGTGTTTCTCGAAAAACAAGAATCAATTACTTCTGTTCTCAGTGTTTAGTAAGACTGCACCCAAAGCGTTTCCTATCTTATCATAAAAAGTTATAAAGTAACTCTCTTCATTAAATAACGTTTATGACGCATTTATATAGTGATTATATGGCCAAGGGCTGAATAACGTCATCCATTAAGCGGTTTTTCGGGGCAAGTATTTTTTTGCGATATCTCTGGGCTCGCGAAATCTTGCCCCAAAAAAACGCCTAAAAGTGTACGAAAGGAAGCACTTTTTGCCGTTGGCCATACTATCATAGGTTACCGTTGAGGAACGGTAAATCTCTAAGTTGATTGTTTAAACGATCTTTAGGTACAAATAGGCTAAATTGCATTCTGAAGTCTTGCATCGGGGAAATCAGTCGATTTTCATGTCTGATAAAAAGTAAGTGATAGAAATAACCAACCCTTTTGGATGTCCACTAAATTTATCACATAAAATTGTAACACGATGAATTGATCCACATCCATGAAAATGATTTTCTAATTCTTGTGCTGTGGCTGAATAATCAACCTAAAATAAAACAGAGAGTTTGAAAATCGTTATTGACTAGCAAAATAGTGCATATTACTTACATTTCCTACGTAAACAGATCGTTGATCAGCTTCCATTTTTTCTTCAAAAGTCGGAAACTGAGCTAGAAATGAGAAAAAAATAGTAATAATAAATCCTTTTTATGAATAAAATAAATGAATGTATTTTTACATGTTCCAGGTGTTCCTGGTAATTGTATCTGTTTTTCAACTTCAAGTTGTATTAATTTGAGTTTTTCAGCTTCTTCTTCCATTTCATGAATACGTTTTCTCATTGTTTCGATGTCCTTAATATAATTTATATACGTGCATTTTTATGCATTTTCATATTTAACAATCCTCAAATCTTACTGTTTCGTCATTGCCCATGTCAGATGTATCTAATATTGTATCTTGAACATTTTCTTGTGCGTCCGCATTCACAACTAGATCGGTGGCTCCATTAGTAATAATACCATTTGTATCCATAACAATCGTTTTACGTGAAACCGGTTTTAATTGACTTACGAAGGAAAAGATAATTTCTAAAAGTCATGTGATAAAAAGTTAATAGGCAAATTATTCAATGCTTCATATACTAATTTTCTTCCGAAAAGTAAGCGAGATTCCTCTGCTCAGCTCAGCTCGACGAACGTTGTCTTGTACACCCAATTATATTACGCAATATAGAAGAAATGCAAGCAGATCTATGGGAAAACGGTAAAGCAAGAATGTAGAGTATGATAAAATAAGATAACCTTGTTATGAAATTTTTAGCTTGAAAGATCGAAACTTTAGCATATCGAAGATACTGAAAGAGCGGGAATAAAACGACCAGAACTAGAAGATCTTATCTGTAAAGTTATGAACCCAGGCCAATCAAATACATCAGATGACGAGAACGTACGAAAAAAACAAGAATACGAACTTAGAAAGCGCTGTCTTGGAAGACAACGACGAACACCAAATGATCGATGCTAGAACATTGTTGCAGCAGACGATTGTAGACCAAAGAGAGGTCTGCAAGGCCTTTTATCGCTTACAAAGTTCTTGCCGGTTTTGCTTACACTTATTTTCATCGTTCTATTTATCTAGGGTGTAGTGTAGGATGACTTTGTTAAGACAAAATGTGCAATGCTTTGGAAGAAAGTTGACTCCTGTCACAGACTGATTTGAGCCTTATTAACGGGTTAACACTTTTCTTGATTTTCTGCTATCTAACTTTTTGGTCTACAGCTCTAAAAATATCTCAGATGAACTGAATTCAAAATCGAGTTTAAGATTTCGATATAAATAGTCAATAAAGCCCCGCTAGATGATTCGTTAGTAAAAACAAGATGGCGGAAGCATTCGTGTGTATTTAACTAGTTTATATTATCCTACAAAGACCTTTCTAACGCATTTTTTTTGTGATCATAGGGGAATTAAATGCTGCAAAGCTCTTCACTTACTGCAGCATACAGAAAGTCTTAAAACACTTATTTTATTGGTTGATTATTCAACAAACCATGTGATTGTATTATTTTACGTGGAAAAAAACATAATTCGTTCACAGAACGTCGGAAGAAGTTACCTGTCAAAATAGCTGATAACTTCAGCTGTTCGATTTCCCGATTCCGATAAGATCGACAACAAAACATAACCTGAAAAGCATCTTAGATATATAAAACCCTACGCTCTAAAGCTGTTTTTCAGTAGAAATAAAAAACTTTTGAAATATCGGTACCTCTAGTGATTGATCTTACACTCCGCAATAGGGAGATGATCGATCTGTGGAAGAACCGAAATATTCTCATTTCAAGAAAACTCAAAAAATTTTAAAATTTAAACAAACTCGGCTCCAGTATTGGATGAAAAAAATTAGGTCCATCCCTTACTGTACTTGACTATACAAATTCGAAAGACTTTTCTATTTTTACATTGTATATTCTGTTGAAATTTTATCTTTTTATTTTCAGATTTATATATTATTCGTGGTTTATTGGTAATGTGAAGGAAATTAATTTGTCTTATTAAAATCCATTTTATTTACTTTGGATAGAAGTGACGGAACAGCGAATGTTTGAATTTTGTACTCGACGTCGTTTAATTATCTTTATTTTTGCACTTTCATTTATAATTCTTAGTATTGTTTTAATTTCACAAAAATTTTCTATAAGTGCTATTGGTTTTTCATCGTCAAGAATTAACGATAGTAAATTAGTAGCGAATTCATGTTCCAGTACCGAACAATTTGATATTCTAACACAATGTCAAAAATGTACAAATTTTGAAAAACGATATGATCCATCGTGTAAATTAACAGGTTTTAAAGAAACATTATTATGTTCAACTTCACAAAAACAAGCATCACGTTCATGTCAAATACCATTTAAAATACAAAAAGAACGATTTTGGATATTTGAAGGATGTATGTTTGCGATAACTTTAATATCATTATTATGTGTACATCTAAGACAAAAAACATTGGATAAACAAATGGTAGAGAAAATCAAACGACAAATAGGTGAAAATTCATTATAAAGAATAAACGTGTTCACACAATGCAATGTGTTCTAATCTTTTATTCTTTGTACATAGCTAATTCTTTTTTGTTTGTTTGTTTGTTTGTTTTTACATATAAATTCCATTTCAAAACAATGAGCTATTTTTGATTTCAAGTAAATTTACTGTTTGATCAGAAAATGTTTAATGGTATAACAAAATGATGGAATGCAAGAAACATGCGATTATATTGTGTCTTTTCTATATCAGACATCCTCTCACAAAAAAATTATGAGTTAGAATGGGAAAGCTGTATTTCTATTCTGTATAAAAGTTGTACACATAATGACTTTTTCTGTCGCTTTTGAATTTTTATATCCTTTGAATACTACTAGTATTTTCCCTTTGTTTTATGTATAAAATTTGGTGATGGAGTGATAGTATTCGTAACAGTAGTCGATTGAGTGCTGTAATTTGTGGCCATGGTCACAATTTCTCATTCAAATATTATATTGGTTTAGTATAATTGTTCATTGCTCACAATATCGATACATTGTACTTATAAAAAATATATTCTGAAAAAATTTGACTAAAATTGAGTCTAAAGTCTAGAAAAAAGTGGAAAACTCATTACAACGAATGAATGTAAAGTGAAATTTTGCCCGGTAAAACGCAAATTTAATTGTTTTTATCACAAGCAGTCTCATTTAACTTAAAAAAGAAAGTTTCTGTCAATACATCGTACGGGTCTTTTAAATTCAGAGTATAAACACATTCATATAATACAATAAATATAAAAATAATATGAATCTAAAGCAATCTATTTCGCTATTTCGTCAAAATTTAAAGGCAAATTTTGTATATGGTTTTTGTTTGTTCTTATCGATAGTCGATCGATCAATATCCACTAAGTATGACAACTATATGAAGACTTAAATTTCAGGGAAAAATGAAATGTAGTGTATTATACCGTATCATACCGTAACGAGTGAGCAACTCTTCTCACTAACGGTTTAGACAAACAAACCTTATCTTTTGTAATTTTTTCGATGATTAGATATAAGAAATTAATGTAACCACATAAACACTTACTGTGCAAGTTAAGCAACCAAATAGCATGATTTGTTAGAGAAACCAAAAATGATCTTCTTTAAAACTATTACGTTTAATTTTTAAGTTTTCTTTTAGTATCTCTATTTTTATGTTCATATTCTGTATCTTCAACATTAAGAAAAGGTGTGAAAAGCGGAAAAAGAAGTTGTCCACTTTAGATTTATCCAACAAGTACTTTTATCTCTTTTCCTATCTGTAAATAAACAAACAAATTGAGCAATGTTTTCGTATCTATATAAATGAATAAAAAGAAAATCTTAATGTATATTTAACAATTTTAAATCAAAGTTACTATGATGAAGAGATGTATTTTATTATTTGCTTTTAGAAAATTAATTTTATCAAGCCCGGTGAGATTTTTTTTCTTTGTTTAAAATCAAATGGTATGTGTCCAATAAACGTCTATTACTAAATTTTCTTTTTCTTTTTTTTCTCTTTTTAGTTGTAAATCTAAAACTATTTATTAACCGAAACAATATTAAAAAAAATGTATATTCTAACTATTTTATTGATTCTTCTTGTAACATGTTATGTTGCTCCTCATAAGTCAACTTCATCTAATGATTGTGGATATAATGTAAGTATTGAACTACTATATCATCACCAAAACGTTTTAACTACTACACAATATAATGTTTTTCAATTTAGTCATGTAATCCTGGTCAATCCGATAAACTTAATGTTCATCTAGTTCCACATACTCACGATGATGTGGGATGGTTGAAAACTGTCGATCAATATTTTTATGGGGGTATACATTTTTTTTTTAGGAATAATTTGTACGATTTCAACATTTTAAAAAATTTTTCTATAAAATAGCTCGAAATAATATACAACATGCTGGCGTGCAATATATTCTTGATTCTGTTATACAATCCTTAGTACAAAATCCTGAACGACGATTTATTTATGTTGAAATGGCATTTTTTTGGCGTTGGTGGAACCAACAGGCATCCGAAATGCAAGAAACAGTTAAAGAATTGGTGAATAATGGTTCGTAATAAATACATATTGATAAATATCAATGACTTGATCAGTTTTTATTTTTTTGCCTGGTTAGGACGTTTAGAGTTTATATCCGGTGGCTGGTGCATGAATGATGAAGCAGCAACACATTACAATTCAATTATTGATCAACATAGTCTTGGCTTTGCATTTCTAAAAAATACATTTGGTGATTGTGCCAGACCAAAAATTGGTTGGCAAATTGATCCATTTGGCCATTCTCGTGAACTGGCATCATTATTTGCTCAAGTAAAAAGTAAATGCAATGAACATAGATCACATCTTTTCAATACTTTCTTTCTTTTAGATGGGTTTTGATGGGTTATTTTTTGGGCGAGCTGATTATGAAGACTATAAACAACGTAATAAAACAAAAACAATGGAAATGGTTTGGAAAGCAAGCGCTAATCTTGGTAAGTTGACTGATTATCTAAGGTGTAGACATTGTATATCGCTATGGATCAAAAACACAATCCTTTGGCTCGATGTGATATACAACTTGAGTATTTCAGTGAATGAAGATGTTTTTTCCACGTGTTCATACAAAATTTACATAATATGACAATTTAATTTCCTTTTAGGTCAGAATTTGAAATTTGTGATGTTTGTACTATAGAGCATGCACCATTTATTTAGATCGTCAATCATGGTTATTCACAGGTGTGTTACCAAATGGCTACAATCCACCCGACGGATTTTGCTTTGATTTATTTTGTGATGAGCAACCAATTATGGTTTGTCTTGCTTTGCTCTTTATTTTCTTGAGAAAATTTGTTGCTTGAACTTGAACTTGAACTTGAAAGTTTATTTTATGTCCAAGAAAATATCTCGTAACAAAGGAAAGCCCAAAAAAAACCAAAGGCCTGTAAATACAGTGCCACCCCGAAGAACCGCGAGAAGAGAGTATAGAAGTTTCGAAATGATATTACATCCTTTTCAAGTATTCTTTTCTTTTTGAACAGTTTTTCTCATATTATTTTGCTGCTGTTTAAATGATGATAAAACTATTCAAGTTTTGCTTTTGATAGTCAAGATTGACTTTTTACTTATTTATTAGCTAATATTTAATTAACTACTCGGATTATTTTGTTGTGATATAGGATGCATCGATTACGATCTGTACGATTATTTTTACGCTGGCTTTTTTTCTCTACTTGCTATTCACAGATATAAATTTAATTATAAAATAACAATAAAATTTTATGTGAGATACATCTCGAATACTTGTAGTAATCGACAGTGCCTTGTAGAAGAAATGTCTGTGATACCACTAAACATCAAATTAAATGTCTCATGTGAAGTTTTGATTAAAATTGTCACAACTGCGTGCCCTCCTTATGTCACTGTTGCTCCTAATAATATTTTCATTTAGTGCTATTTCTATTTTTAGGATGATCCACGTCTTCATGATTATAATGTTCCAAATAAAGTACAAGCTTTCATAAAGGCTGCTCACGATGAGGCAAGTTTATGTTTTTATTTCTTTACTCTTCATTTCATTGATCTTTTTCTTTAGGCAGTAGGTTTTGCAACAAATCATATAATAATGACAATGGGTAGTGATTTTCAATATGAAAATTCAAATGAATGGTTCAAAAATTTAGATAAATTAATACACTATGTCAATGAACAGGTACAATGCTTTATTAGAATTTATTAGATTTATTTAAAAATAATTTTTGTTTATTCTACATTTAAGCAAGTAAATGGTAGCGATGTTAATGTTTTTTATTCAACACCATCATGTTATTTGTACGCATTGAATAAAGCTGGACATAAATGGACATCAAAAATCGATGATTTTTTTCCATATGCACACCATCCACATGGTTTTTGGACTGGTTATTTTACATCACGAGCAGCACTGAAACGTTTTGAACGTCATTCAAATAATATATTACAGGCAGCAAGACAATTAAATGCTTATGCGGCCATTAACAATCAGGCTAATCTGTTCTTTTTAAGTATGTGAAAACCCATTGATTATTTAATATTAATTTTAAATTAATTAATTTTCTTTTAGATGAAGCTTTGGGAATAGCACAACATCACGATGCGGTTAGGTAGATTGAAAATTATAAAACTAGTGAACCCATTGAACCTATTTTGTACTGATATTTTTAAGTGGAACAGAAAAACAGCATGTGGCAGATGATTACGCTATGCGATTGGCATATGGCATTGACAAGGCTTTTGTATGTTTAAAATAACATTAACGGTCAAGACGTTATTTTTTTAGACTATTTTTCTCTATGTGTAAAACAGAAAATCCCTTTTTTTCCCTATATTATACATATATTTATCATATTATAAATATCTTTCTTTTTACAGGAAGTAATAAATGCTTCATTAACTAAATTAATGACTAAACCAGAAAAATCAACACCAACTGCACCACAATTTTTGTGCCAATATTTGAATATTAGCGAGTGTTTACCAATAGAAAATCAAGAACGGGTAAATTGCTAAATTATAAATACAAACCAAAATGAATTGATTGTTTTGTGTTATAGTTTACATTAACATTATATAATCCGACAGTTCATCCACGAATACATTTTGCTCGTGTACCAGTCACTCGTGATTATACAATTAGAGATCCAGATGGTCAAGTTATAATGACAAATGTATGTTCAACAGTTCTCTATTTTTATTATTTTTTTAATATTTTCTTGCTCTTTCAAGTTATTAAAAATTCCAAAAGCAACATATTCTATACCTGGACGAAAAAGTTTTGCCGAATTTGAATTAGTATTCAAAACTGTTTTACCAGCATTGGGCTTTAACACATATTATTTCGAAGTAAACGGTAATTATGATATGATACTTCATGGAAAAGAAAAAGAGACTAAGATCTATTGTTGAATAACTGCTGATCTGCTTTTACTACATATTTAGCTGAAAAAGAATCATTACTTTATAAATTAGTTGAAAACAACGAAATATCAAAAAATAATGCATGTACCCTGCAGAATCAAGTAAGTTTTGCTAGAAATTTGTTAACAGCTAGCTTTTACATTATTGAATGAATTTGTTTTTAGAGGGTTCGTGTTGATTTTGATGAATCCGGAAACTTAAAGCAGATAACAAATTTGGACAAAAGTATCACTGTTCCGATGAAACAAGACTTTTTTTATTATGAAGGTCTTTATCTATATTACTTAGCTTTTATCATTTTTGTAAATAATCGTTTATTTTTAGCTTTTCCTGGTAATAATACAAAATCCGAATTTCAAGCATCCGGTGCTTACATTTTTCGTCCTCAAAGTGAAGAATCATATTCTGTTAGTGATACACGTACAATAACTTGTGTGAAAACTGAAAATGTTCAAACAGCACAAATAATTCATAATAGTTGGGTTAGTCAACAAATTACCATTCACGATGGACAACCATTTGTTGAAGTAGAATGGACAATTGGTCCGATTAATATTAAAGATTCCGTCGGAAAAGAAATAATTGTACGTTATGATACAGATATTAAAAGTAATAAAAAATATTATACAGATGCAAATGGTCGAGAAATACTTGAACGTGTACGAGATTATCGTCCAACATGGAATTATACTGTAGCTGAGCCAGTTAGCGGCAATTATTATCCTATTAATAGTAGAATCTATATCAAAGAACCCAATAGACAATTAACGATATTGACAGGTAAGCGTAAAATAGAGGCTTAAAGTTGAATGTTTGTCTTAAACTCTCTGATTCTAATTCATCTTGGTGTTTTTTCTTTTCATTATAGATCGTTCAGAAGGTGGTGGGAGTATCGAAGATGGATCTATCGAAATTTTAATTCATCGTCGTACGTTGTACGATGACGCTTTAGGTGTCGGTGAACCACTCAATGAAACAGCTTATGGTACTGGTCTTGTTGTTCGTGGTCGACATTGGTTAATTGTTGAAAATCCTGACAGTAGTGCATTATTTCATCGTATTGGTGCACAACAGATTTATATGGCTCCAATAGCAACATTCTCTCTAGTCAAATCAACATTCAAAGATTATTCGGAAAATTATTATACAACATGGTCAGCATTAAACGAAGTATTACCGTTGAATGTTCATTTATTAACATTTGATTTACAAGAAATAACAGCTGACAATGTGGCAAAATATTTAATACGTGTAGAACATTATTTTGAAAATAATGAAGATCCAGATTATTCGCAACCAGTGATAATCGATTTGCAAGCACTATTTACACAAGGGCAAATTGTTGATATGGTTGAATTAACATTAGGTGCTAATTTAGAGTTGAAAGATTTGAGTCGTTTGGAATGGGTAACAGTTGATGGTGAGACGTCTAAACGCTCACCATTTAAAAAATGTAAGTTTCATCTGAAAACAGAAACTAATGATTTTGAATTTTAAATTTGATTTTTAACTTAATATATCGGTTTTATAACTGCTGTTTAGTTAGTTACAGGGAGCCCAAGCCCTGAAAACCTGGATTGACTCTTACTACGCGTCCAGTTTTCGAGACTGACTTTGTTCAATCTCAAATTTTTTAATTCTCATCCTTGACCACTCTCAATCGCCTATTTCGTGGAGAATCCCGCAGAAGTTGTGCAAGGATGAAAAATCCTACAGGACTTTCCTAGGAGTCTTGATGAAATCCTACGCGTCTTCCATTTTCGTAGGATTTGTGAGGGATTTTTGACAAGACTTTCTATAAAATCCCTCGGAATATTTATACTAAAACTACGAATTTTTCAGAAATCGTTCACGACTCGTGCTGAAACTACGTAAGACTTATTCAACTTTTTGTGTTGCCGAGACACATAGTATATGAGAAACATTGATTTAATGACAAATTTTCAAAGTTCTCCGTCACATAAGTGATTCATTACTAAATGGTCGGTTAACAATAGCCTAGACTGTGGGACGCACTGTTTCTGTTCTATGATAAGGATCGGTACATGTTCCAACCATTATCAGGCTGGTACTGGCTACGATCAGAACAAGTACTAGTTCTCATATATTATGATAAATTCTTGATTAGAATAGTTTAGAACTGAGCAGTAACAGTGATTACCTAGCTTCAACTTTCGCCTCAACTTTCGTTTGAGCAAGCAGACGGAATACTAAAAGGCTAACTTAAAAATAGGAAATAAATAAAAAAGTGTTGTTAAAATTAAAAATTCTCACAGAATTTTTTCTGGAATTATTCACCAGGGACTCACTATGTGTAGAACGATTATGAGATGTTTCATAAATGTCGTGATGCAATAGATAGTCACGCTCAGAATTGCACATAAGATCCACACAGCCTCAGTATTAGCCTTTGAACTACTCAAAGAAGGCGTTTGAATGGTGGTTTTTATCAAAATGTACCTAAATTTTTCTCGCATTTATGTAACAAAAACCAATTTATAATTTCAAGTGGCCTTACTTTTATGAGTCAAATAGTATAACAGAAAGTTTTTAGTTGTCCACAATTGTCACCTCGCGATGAATTATGTATCATTTTTTCTTCTTTCTGCTGGGTGATAATGTAGCACACTATCACCGTTCGACAACTGAAAAAATCAACTACATTTTAGTAAAAAAAAAGTTTTTACTATTTCGTAGCTCAGTTTTGCTTAATTGAAATTCAAACCTTCTCTCACCTTGATTATTATGAATATTCTTTTTTTTTAAGTTTCAACTAATTCATTGAAAGAAACGACAACTGTCTTAAATCCAATGCAAATTAGAACATTCCAAGTTTCGGTACAATCATAGACTAGACAAAGATTTTGTTAAACAATTTTCTTTGTTTTATTGCATTTGTTCGTTTTTATAAAAATGATATTTTAAAACTCTTTTGATATACAATACACACCTCGTGATTTCTATTGTGATTTTTTTTTCGTTTAGTTTGTTTTGTTTTACAATTAACATTTTATGCGTATATATACTGTAGGGTTATTTAATAAACACTATGTACACAAAAAAAACAAAAAATAAAATCCAATCCCGATGTAAAAATAAAATGTATTAACAACTAAAAGTGGTACTGTATATATACTATCGACAAAAAATAATAATAATCAAGGATCAATCAATTGAGGACATTAATGAAAAAATTCAAATCACATCTTCATTGTGTATATTATTTTCAACTAGTCTTTATAGATTTATATTTATAGACTATAATTATAGTCATCATGATATAAAGAAAGAAGAAAAAGATAGAAAAACATTGTTGAACAAAAATAATCAACGATGATCGATTGAACGAATGAATATTATTAGTCCAATACTCAAGTAGAGAATTAGTGCAATAACAAACGTAGCTAATGACCAACTGAACGATCGTCTAGAGTGTATTAATGCTTGTTCATAATAACCTTTTTGTTCACAATGTAATGATCGAGTTGCGTAGTATATGGCAATCACGCCTAAGGATAAAAAAAAGCATCTAGTTATGTACTTCAATATAGAACCAAAAATCTCCGTTATAGACTTTCGTGGAATGTTTCTGGTATATGAACGAACTACAAAACGCGATTTAAATGTGTCCTCTTAACGTTTTACTAAAAACTCTATTATTTTCCATATAAGGTATAAACAAGTATAGTCCTGCTAATTTCTTCAACGTTAAAACACTGAAAGAGTTATTATATGAAAAAAAGAACAAATTAATCTATCTAATCTGATTTTACCTTGCCTTAGAAATTAATAAAGTCTGTTATTTATGGTATAATAAAACTATTTCTGATGAAACTTCTTACAAACAAGATTTGACTTTCTAAATTTTTTCCGCTAAGCTCTAATACCAATCTTCAAAACATCAAGATCTTTGTACAACTTAGAACTTGTTGACTTCTTTTACCTAAAGCTTGATAGTTCTTGGATCATTCTTTATTTTTCTGTTTAAGTACGAAAGTTTTTATATTTAAAGTAAATATTTTGAATATTATTTTTCTCACACATCGTAGATCTGATGGTCGTGACTGTCATACATGAAAAGAAAATATTAACAATATTACCACTCGAGAATTTGAAGAAGTTTATTACAAAGACCTGTTGACATCTGAACTAAAAATAGGCAAAAGGATTCGTGAAATTTCTGTTCTCTAGATCTTGAGCAGAAAAAATACAAATTCACCAGCTAGATCTCGTGGTGTTTAAAATGCCATGTCATTTCTCAATCGAAGCTCTTATAATTAAAAGAAATTTTCACTACACGGTAGTGATATATCATTAGTAAAGTAAATCCCTTTTGTATTCTCTTCTAGCTCTATGATGTTTTGTCTATTTGAAAATACTTCTCTTGAATAATATAATACAATGTAATTCTTTAGATAATGATTTTGTTTGTCAGATGTTTTTTTTTTCCTTTTGTTTTTTCTTAGAACAATAATGAATTTTTTTTATCACAAATGTATTTTCGACTCACCAGTAATGAAAAATATAAGTGATGAGAATATTGCACACGCTAAGTAACGTTTTGGATGTGCTTTGCGGCTGGTATGATGATAAGGTGCAGTTGGAGATGGTGGATCTAATATAAAAACAAAAAGTATTGGTTATATGTGAAATATATGTATATTTTCAATAACAAAAAATAATTGTCTTACCCAGTATACTTGAACCACGTTCTGTGCCAAATGATTGTCCAGCAGTCGACCATCTACATGGTGAAAGTGTACTAAATTTTTGTGTATGAAAAGATGAACCGGCTTGTGAGCTGAACATTCTTTGTTAGTATTTAAAAATTATCTAGCCATGAAATATATATATTTATCTGTGAATACAAATAAGATCATCAATAGAACAATGTGATTCACATGGGACGATAAATAGAGCGTCCTATGGTTTTCATTTGTCACATAAAACATAGTAGTGATGATAACTGTTTTATTTTTATTTTAGAAATACATAGAAATAAAGAAGAAAATTACTCTTTCTCTCTCTTTTCCTCCTCCTCTTCTTCTTCTTTTCTTCAATGATTAACTCTCTAATTCGAATGACACGCAACGGAAATCAGTCTTCAGATTTTCCATCTATTCACATTTTTTCGCATTCATATATTATATTTCCACTAAAACATTGATCATTGATTTTTACTGTTACTAATTCATCATCACAAATCTTATCCGTATTTTTTATTGAAAAAGACTAATAACACAGTTGACGAAAGAGCAACAACTATAATCTCAAATCAGTACTATAATTTTTTATATTATTAATTTCAAACATAAAGGGAAGTCTATGTTTAATGATAGCCACATAATATTTCTCTCTAAAGAACTTTCAGTACATTATTTTATTAGGAAAAAAAAATAGTTAGAAAAAATTATGAACACATGTGACTTTTCAAGTTTATGATCATTTTATAGTGTAACGGAAAAAATGAATTCAGATGAGAAAGTACAGTATTTGTGTAAATCTAAAAGATAGATACTTCTTAAAATGCGATGATATCATAATGTTTTTATGAAGAAAGCCTTATTTGAATAATTTCTACAACTGGCATGAATTCATCGATTTAAAAGAAGAGCAAAAGAAATAAAATTAGCATATAGTATGTGTGATATATATCAAGTTTATTTTCGAAAAAATATTAAACTATTTGAGACAAATACTATATTTGATAGAGAGTAGTAAGTCAAAAAACGTTTTGGAAGCGTTCATTATATTGATTAAATTAATTAACTAATCTACTTCTCTTGAGAAAAACTATATATTTGCAATAAAATATCTTATTCTTACGCTATATTTCATTCCAAGTTAATATCAAAAATGTATTCTCAAAACAGACGTAAATTCATGATACGTACTGAATACAAAAATTATTATTATCTAGTAAAAAGGGTACTTACTAAATGTCTAATATATTTCTTCTATCATATGTTATTAAAATTTGTAACTTCAAAACGTTTGATGTATATTTGAATCCTGATTATGACGACAATATGACATAAATAAGACAGATACTCATTCTCTTTAAGGATAAAGTAGAAAAATTATGTAATTTCTTTATTCATTTAGAATATACTATGTATACATACTAGTTCAAAACATCAAAATATTAATTGTGGGTGGAATATATCAAAGAAATTGACAGTTTTTTTCTCAAATAGCCTTTACAAATTATGTAGAAGATATAATTACCGTCTAAGCATTAATATTTAGCATTTGCACTTGCATACTCAATATTTTGATTAAAGAATAATTTTCGTATCATACAACTCTATTTGTTCATGTGAATAAACATTATTATTCCTACCTACTTAATAAATCTAGAATAGAATATCAACTGCACAGTAGGTTTCTACTATATACATTGTAATAAAAAGATACTGTACTTCTTATTCTTCTACGCAAAATCGGCATGCTACGAAATAATCATCTATAAGAATGTAAATCGTCATTTACATACATGAACTACAATCATAATTATCTCATTAAAACAAGTGTTTTCGAGCTGAAATTAGTTAAAATTTTATGAAAAAAGTACAATATAGACACTTCAGTATAATAGCAATTTGAAATAATGTAGTAGACCCTGGCTTATCCTCATTCTAACATCTTATCAGATGTGAGACAGGATAAGAATGTCAACTATGCTAGGATACGAAGTTTTTCGTAGGATAGGGTGTATTAGAATAGAAAAAAATCGTATCCTACCAGGCAAAAATATAAGTTGCTTTCTTTTACTTATTATTGTTAATCATTATCATGAGAAATTATCAGTACATCTGAAAAATCTTTTGTACTGTTCAATATCTAGGAATTATAATTCTTAATAAATAGCCTGTAAAATCGAACTATTAGAAAACAAAACGAAAAATTTTCTGTCATACTATAAAGTTAAAATTGTTAGATGGCAGAAAAGTATTTTCTCATTTGATCCGATGTAGACCATGCAATTTTTGAAATTTGAAGTTGATTTTATATTGAAATGTTGTCATTTTTTCGTCTTCGTTCTAACCACTCCGAATGTATTTTCGTTTTTCAAAATTGATTTATATCTCAATAGTTAAATGGTGAAGAGGAGTGTACAACATGTAAATGTCTTAGTTTCTTTCTTTAGATTATTGTCTGCATCTTACCTCTTGTCAAACGTTAATTAGATTCAACTAAATCTTCTTAATCAGTAATTGACATATGATTCTTTTTTTCTGTTCTTGTTATTCTTAAATAAAGAGAGAAAAATTATTATATATATATTTCAGTTCAGTAACATATTTATAATGAAACAACGCGCTACTGATTTTTTTTGATTTTTCTTTTGAGTTAACTCTCCTCCTTCTCTGTCTTTATAATCCGGTATCAACTGCTCATTTTCATGTCTTTCTTCTCTCTCTCTCTCTCTCTCTCTCTTTCCCTCTCTTTTTTTCATCTAATATGAACGTTTTTATTATGATTCTCAACATTCAAATATTAAATAATAAAACTCTCGCTTTCCTCTGTTTTATTTCAACTCAAAAGAGAAGAAATGAAAAATAGAATGGACTGTGGCGTATATTAGACTGTTTCTTAAAGTATTATCTCTGCCATTTGCTCTCTTTCTCTCTTGTTTTAGAGAAATAACTAAAAACTTATGTGAACTTAACTTGTTCAAAAATGCGTCAAAATACGCGTAGTCAATAAATAACTCGAAACTAAAATGTCAAATATTATACATGTCATTTGATAAATAGGGAAAAAAAAGAAAAAATAGATATATAATAAAATAAAATAAAAAAAAAAACAGGAAAACTATCCAAAACTCTATTAGATTGATCAGTAAAATTCGGTTTTCTATTTTTCTATATATGTATATTCCATTATTGACAACAACGGGTTGAAGTATTCTTGAAAATAATTTCTTGTATTGTAGTGAACAAAATGAGATAGTGAACACTATTGATTACAACAAACAACTATATATCACGATAATATGTAGAGTAAATGCAGATTTTGAGAGAAAAAAAAAGAGTCGTATCGTAAAAAAAAGAAAAGTCCCTAGATAAATTTATTAACAAACGGCAATTCGATTATATATTCAGTAAAGTACATAGTGGATATTTATGAATTGATTGAATAAATATATATAGAGAGAGCAAAGAATAAGTGCATCAATTTAACTCATTTAGGTGAGATTATGTCATAACAAAATAAGTGTCGTTTTACCATTATAATATCTAAGAATAGAACTAGTAAATTTAACGGGACAGTTTTTTCTAATCTAATTTTGCTAGAGATTAGCTTTTCGCAAAAGATTCGGAGAGACTATGAGTTTTTACATGAATATTCCCAGGATAACAAAAATTACCGTCGTATACGTCTACTTATGATCGATTTACGATCATAATGAAGTTGTAAATGGCTGTATGTGATTGCAAATCGTCGTATAGATACAGACCAGAGACCGAAACGGGTTGGGTTGACCCGCAGGTCAGCTCGGGTTGAGTCCGATCGGGTCGCATTTGGTTGATCCGTTTCGATCTAACTCAGGTCAACATAAAATAAACTGCCTGAATTACCCAAACTTTCCCACTCATAAAAGGAAGAAATGACGGAAACCGTAAGGAATCTGACCATTTTTTTAAAAAAATTTCAAAACATTCTGACTAAGATAACTTTTCGACAGGAAAGAAGTGTTTCTTTGCGAATGTGTACGAAAACATTTTCATATTTCAGGTCTAGTTCGGATCACAATTGTAAACCTTTCGGGTCCGTTCGGGTTCGGGCCATAGTATAAGATATTGATTTGGGTCGGATCCGGGCCAACTTACGTTCGGGTTGAGTCAGATTCAGAGGTGGAACCGGTATCGGTATGAATTATAACGGCGACCTGTATACCGGCATTAGTATGAAGTATAATCAATCGGTCGACATTACTGGTATTTTGCGATATGATACGATTTGGCGAAAAATATCGTGTAAATTCAGTTCATCTATGACATATTCCTATAAACAAGGAAAAAGTGTTTGTATTTAGGCAAAACACGATCAAGACAAGCCGGTACCGGCAGAGACAGGATGGTCCAGGTCAGGTCCAGATCAAATGTCCAGACCTGATCTAGCAAAAGTGGACTTTGACCTGTAAGACGTGAGCCTGGAAAAGGGGACCTGGACTTTGACCTGAACCTCTACCTGTGACCTGTCGGCATAAGCAACATATCAGCCATTGACTATATCTAGCAGTGTGAAACT